GAAAGAGAAAAGTTATGAAGTTACTAGCAAACATGCTACAGTACTGAATGTCATGTTTTTTGGAGGGATTCCTTGGGATAACTAAAATGCAATTTCTTTAAAACAAAACATTAAATAGCTTTCTAATTTGTGATATATATATATAATTTACAAGTATTTTGTATAACATAGTTAATAACAACTGCATTATTTACCTATGGTTTATTTGCTGCTTTTTTAAAACATCAAGTATGTAACACAATGGTAAATCTACGTTGCTCCTACCTAAAAGGTACATATACTTCAGCAATTTTATTTCTGATTTTACCTTGATTACAAATATTTCCCTAAGAAGTCACTTTTGAAACTGTGAGGAGACATATGCTGATACAACCTGTGACTATGAATCACAGATACAATACTAAGTACTGTACTAGTGATTCATTAAGATCTGCCCTCCTGAAGCATTAAGGTAGCTCTATACAATAGCAGTAGCAGAGAACTGGTATTTTGGGAAAAATATTCCCTTTGCCCTTCCTTATTGTACATCACAAACCTACAATGAGGAGCCAAATTTTTTCTTAGTACCTTCTCCTTGCACAATGGAAAGTGTCTTTCTGTGAAATTATATTGACCTAGAGCTGTAATGACACATTCACGGAAGTTCTTTCACCATGATTTTCTCAATTAGATCTGAGCTTATTCAGCTAGCTCAATTTTCTATTTCCAGTAATAGCTTATTAGAAGCATATATGAAAAAGAGAAAAAAAACATCGAATAAAAATACCTATTTCAAATGGTAATTCTTCACTCTGAAAAACAAGCATGTACTAGTTATACCTTCTGGGCAGTATGGTTAACAGGATTCCTGTAAAAAGAGTTACATTATTTGTAATCCTCACTAAAGTCACTAAGGTATTTCTACAGAAGTATAAAATTTGCAGTGCTATTTTGAATTTGATAACAAAGGAAAATATTATCAGTTCAATATTAATCCCATGTATTATAATTCACTGTATAATTTACTATATATTTCATTACAACTAATTCCATACATTCCAAAGCACAGATTTGACTGCTAAGTGATGTTTTAAAAAAAAAAAGGTAATGAAAATAAGCACAAAGATCCTTAAAATGAAATAGTTTTTACAGTAATTTCTTAATCTTGTTTTAGTTTATCTAATTATTTTCTAATACTGCTGGAAAAAATTACTTTGATATGTACACAGCTGGTCTATACTCAAGATAACTTTCCTATGTTCTTATGTATGAGAAAAAAATACTGTATTCAAATATGGGATGATGTAATATATGTTAGGTGTACAGTTAGGGCAAAAAACAACCTAATAAATACTCTGAATGACAGATTTTTGCATGACCACATTGTCTGTTCTCATCATCAAATATATAGTAAGAAGCATTTTGAGAGGTATCTACCAGGTTAAGCGAAGTCCACAAAACCAAATAAAACATGTAACAGTTGTAGGCAAAAAAAAAAAATGGCCCAAATGATCATAAAAATACATATTTTCTAAAGTTAATTTCTACTTTTTCCAAATTGTCTAAAATGAATACATTAGTCTCTCTGAAATTGCTTATAAAGTAATGAAAAATATATAATAAGATGTTTTATACAAAATATATAATAAGATGGTTTTGGTCCTGTGGTTTCTTCATGAACAGTTTAAGGAGTCCTGTTCCCTGGTCCTATTCTGCAGATGGTTGTGTACAATTTAATTAATTTTCTGCAAACATGGTGCAATACCTGACTAAAAATATACTGTTTGGCTGACATTCCTGAACATAGAAATATGTGAGAAAACAAGAGTGCAAATACAGACCAAGAAAATTCCATTAAGAAATAAATACATACATGCATACATAAAAGAAAATATTTTGAAGAATTGCCAATGCTAGACAGGATTCCCAGAATATGCTGGAGATTAACACGTGCAAATGAAAAATGCTAGATAGTATGATGAATTTTCGCAAGGACTTCGAAAACACTAGCGTGGCTGTATTATATTGTTCTGTGGTATAAGCCAGTTAATACAGATCTGGGTAAGTCAGTTAAGGACATATCATGACACAAAAAGTACAATGACAGTGCAGTCATACTGAAGCACAGCTAGTAAAGAACATTAGGAACACAGCAGAGACACAGAAGTTGACTGGCAAAGAGCAATGAAGAAGCTGGGACAAAAATTTAATAAGCAGTGTTAGCCTGTAGCAAAAAATGAAACCATGCTAGTTATATTTTCCCATTCTTGTAAATGGCATTATCAAAACCAGAATATACCAACAAAGCAGAAGTCTGCCTTCATACTGATCCATAATGTCAGTCATCTTATTTAGCTTTGAAGAGCAAATACACAATGTCAAAAAGGGGCAGCCCTAATCTTGGTGTCTGTGACCACCAGAACCCTTGGTAAAATCTTTCTGAAGCTTCTTTCCCTCCTGCACTAAGTATGGAGAGCACGCGTTAGCACCATGTCTGCCACCGTAACACACCAAAACGTGAAGAGGAAGAGGCAGCACACATGGGAACACAAAGTACACTACACCTGCCCAGCAGTCGTCAGTAGAAATCCCCACCAGGAAAAAAGCATTGGAGCTGCCACTGGTGACAAATCAAAACACAGATATAATCTCTATAAATGAATAATGTCAGTAACTCGCAAGTCTGCCTGAAATAATAATGGAAATCTACTAAATTGGAATATTTTTTTTCCTTTCAAATGTTATAGTGGGAGAGATGTAAAATATGTACTATAGTGTTTTCTGCTAGATTGAATAAGTACACATGCTTTTATTTCTTAGTCTTAATAAAGAGTATAAAAAATAGAGAAAATAAAAACCTAGACAACCAGAACAGCCTCTGTGGTTCAATACTCATGATTTCTGCTCATTCACTGAATTACTGAAGATCGATGAGCAAGTATGCAGGTGCTTACACTCTAAGACATTGGAAGAATAATTTCAATAAACAGACCATTGTGTGTCCTGAAAATGGTAAATACAGACAAGGTCTTCAGAAGGTACCTTTTTACAGCATTTTGGAAATCATAATAAATTCTTAAGATATCAAAATATTTTTCATCATTAATGTTAATCAAAGAATTTCATAGAATGCATAAATAGAAGTGGGGTTTGGGAGGTTTTGATGGTCGTTGTGGTTTAACCACAGATGACAACTAAGCACCACACAGCCAATCACTCACCCTCCCCTCCGGTGAGATGGGGGAGAGAATCGGAAGGGCAAAAGTAAGAAAACTCATGGGTTGAGATAAGAATGGTTTAACAATTGAAATAATAATAATCATCATCATCATCATCATCATCATCATCATCTGTAGTGAAAAGGAACAAAACCCAGGAGAAACAAGTGATACAATCGCTCACCACCTGCCGACCAATGCCCAGCCAGTGCTTGAGCAGCGACTGCCACCGCGCAACCAACCCCCCCCAGTTTCTATACTGAGCATGACGCCATATGGTATGGAACAGCCCTTTGGTCAGTTTGGATCAACTATTCCGGCTGTGCCCCCTCCCAGTT